TTCCCTCCCTTACCCTCCATATCTAGTTCCAGGTTAAGTCTAATGGGTTTAGTCCCATCACCACCCCTATACTCTACTCCACCATCATTTCTCCCTCTCCACTGCCCTCTTCCTTGTCTGAGCTGCCATCATGTCTTCCCTGGACCACTGAGTAGCCTCTCCACTACCCACAACCTGCCCCATAATCTACCTTTCTCACTGTGACCACAGTAGTGTCTTAATGCAAATATGCTCCTATCACCCACTACTAAAAATGTTTCCCCTTTAGGCACATCTTGTTCTACACTCCGCACCCAGTCTCCGCCTCCGTGACCATCTTTCAGGACTCCCAACACCCTCTATATCTAGTTAATTGTGCCTGTCCCTTCAGGCTTCTGTTCATCTGTCGCTTGCTCAGGGAACCCTCCCTGGCCTCCTTGACAAGGTCAGATCTCTCAGTAACAAGCTTTCTTAGCACCACAGACTTCTCCTTTGCAGCATGTATCAGTATCTCCAACCTTCCATTCATTTCTGTGATTACTTGCCTATCATCTGCTTCTCCACTCTTCCATGATGGTGGGCCAGTACACTGGCTGGGTGTGGGTGTAGGAGTGATTTGTACCACTGCAAGACTCCAATGGTGTAAATGCAACCATAGAAGATTTCAAGCTACCAACAATTGTGGCTCACAAAATCCCTGCAAACTTAATAATCGGCTCTCATGGGCTGGTATGAGCTAGCTTTAGGATACCAGTGGGGCAGGCCTTGTATTCTATGATCAATAAGATAACTGAAGGGCAATAAATATTCGGTGAAGGAAGGAATGAGCAATGCTGAAATTTAAATGAACCTCAGGATGACAATTGCTGTTTGCTGAAGATAAAAGATTTTGACTACTTTGAATGCCCAAGAATAGAATAAGGGAGTCATGTCATTTCTGAGGACTATTTAGATATTTACTTAACAAACATGTCTATATTGGGCACAAATCCAAGTGCTTTACAAATACTAACTCATTTAATCTTCCTAATAATTAAAAGGTAGATTCTATTAGCATCTTCATTTCACAGATAAGGAAACTGAGGATCAGAGTAATTTGCCATCATGGTGCAGCTGGGCCTTGAACCCAGGAAGTATGGCTGCAGAGTTCACATCCCTAAACACTATGCTGTGTTACATCAGGACTAGCTCTGGAATGAGATATGGCCCATATTTCCTTTGCTCTGCCCTGAGGACATGAGTAGGTGATTTTCAGGTCATTGCACCTCAACAAAGAAAGAACAGAATGGAAAGGGTCCAGAAATGTGCCAACATGATGGGAAATGTGGGCTCTTCTGGATAAGGACAGAGTAAACAGATTAAGGTTTTTCAAGAAATGGGCTTTATATACTTATAAATTCTAATAGAAGGAAATTGACCTGGTCAACTTTCATAAAGAGAAATATTAAAACTTGAGAGGTGAGTTTGGGACATGAGTAAATGCACTATGTCCTCTAAGTGTAGTCTCACTTCTCCTCTAAGACCATCCTAAAAGATGAAGATAGTCAGGACCATTTTAATGAACTAAGGGCACCAAAGTTTAGAAGTTAAGGGATATATATATATATCCAGGCCACAGACCTACCCATTGGCATAAATGAGCCCAGGTCCCCACCAGAGGATGGTCAGCCTCCACCTTCTCATGCTGTTCAATGTTACTTCCCAAGCAGGTCTCACAGAATCACAGCTGTTCAGAGGAAGTCAATTCCTGGAGCTAATTATGCTGAGCAGCAGTACAAGGTGAAATGTAATTAGATTCAAAGGAGGTTTACACTGATTCTGTGGTGATAGCCTAATATTGCAATAATAAGAGTTGGGAATGTGTTTCTAACTTTTGATGTGGCTGTTCATTTAACAAAGGAACTCCTAGGTACTAAATGCCTACAGTGTACAGGGACTGTCAAGGTTAAAGATGAACTCCTTCCTTTATTGCCCATTCTGTATGCAGCATTGAGAATCATCCCAAAGGAAATGAAAACACTGATGTGGAATTTTGCATGGGAGAAAAATGGCACGAATATAGAAGGAAAGGCAAGGACAGTCAGACTGTGGGGTAATTCTGGAAACCAGGGTCCTCAATTCGATTTTGTTCTATAGGAGAAGAATGGCCAATGAAGACTTTTTAGTAAGGGATCGACATCATCGTCATCATCATCACAATAAAAATAATAGCTACTATTTACAGAGCACCTACTGCCGCCCAAGGCTTTTAGCCCCCATATCCACCCCCAGAGGTAAGAACTAGTATTAACCCTACTTAGCAAAGAAGGGGCTTAAGGCAAGGGATAACACATAAGGGGCAGATCCTGAAACTGAACCCACATCTACCTGAATTCTGTTTACTCTCACCCTAACACTCTGCAGCACCTTCGCTTTTGAGCACATCCAGGACAACACGTAGGGATATAGGTTAGGGCAGTGGTCGGCAAACTCATTAGTCAACAGAGCCAAATATCAACAGTACAACGATTGAAATTTCTTTTGAGAGCCAAATTTTTTAAACTTAAACTATATAGGTAGGTACATTGTTATTAACGTAGGGTACTCCTAAGGCTTAGGAAGAGCCACACTCAAGGGGTCAAAGAGCCGCACGTGGCTCGCGAGCCGCAGTTTGCCGACCACGGGGTTAGGGAGCCACCAGCATTTAGCTGGGTGGTTGAAGGCATGAGAAATACCAGATTTAAGAGGAGAGATAGGAAGACCAGAGAAGCAGGGAAAGAAACTGCAGCTGAAGCAGGCAGTGTTAAGGAAATCATGCAAGTGCGAATTTTAAGAAGGAATGAAGGGAATAACAGTGCAGAACACTACCTAGAGGTCAGGCAAGATGGGGATGGACAAGGAACTGTAGTCTTTGCCAAATTAAAAGGGCTTCCGGGATTCACAGACAGCGTTTTCAGAGGAGTGGTGGGGGTGGGTGCCAGATTGCTGTGGGCTGAGAAATGAGTGGGAGGTGAAGATAGGGCTGGCAGCGTGTAAACTTACTCTTTCAAGAAATATGATAGTGAGGGGCAGGGGAGGGAGGAGACCTGAAAGGGGAAGATGATGGCAGGAAGGGTTCTCGAGGAGGATAGAGATGGGAAGAGACTTGAGCAGTTGTAAGCTAGAAGGATAGGAAATGCTGCAAGACAGGGAGGCTCTCTCTGCCACTGCCCCACAGGAATCGAGAGCACAGTGGGTGGCTTAGTGAGAGCTCACTTGGCTGGACTTCTTCAGGGCTGGGAAATGATGGAGGTGGATCTGATTATCTTTGTAGCCCCTTGAAGATCTGACATTCTTTCCCCTTTCTTCTTTCTCCCTTCCTCCCCTCCTTCCTCTTTGGCTCTTCCACAAATATTTACTGAGCACCTACTCAGTAAATATGCAAGGTCTTGTACTAGGCTCTATGGCTATTATAATAAACAAAACAATGTCCCGGGTGAGGCAAAAGTAGGTTTACAGTTGTTTGTATGGAAAATAATACAATCCTATATAATAAAAGGCAAATATGCAAATAGACTGAACAGCGGAACAACCAGTCGCTATGAAGTGCACTGACCACCAGGGGGCAGACACTCAACGCAGGAGCTGACCCCTGGTGGTCAGTGCACTCCCACAGGGGGAGTGCCGCTAAGCCAGAAGCTAGGTTCAGGCTGTCGAGCTTGGTGGTGGTGGTGGTGGGAACCTCTCCCGCCTCCACAGCAGCACTAAGGATGTCCGACTGCTGGCTTTGGCCCACTTCCTGCGAGCCTAAGCCGGCAGTCGGACATCCCCCGAGGGCTCCCAGACTGTGCACTGGGCCTCTAGTAATAAATAAGAATGCAAGGATAAACTCTGTGTTTCATGTACTCACAACTGTAAACCTACTTTTGCCCCACCCTGTATATCATCCTTACAATTGAATGGGGAGACCAGCATTAAACAAGAATGTGCACAAATAGAGTATGTGTGTGAGTACACATTGTATGATAGCATTAATAATTGCTATGTTTACTGAGCACTTCCAAAGTAAAAAGCACTTATAACCATTTCTCACCGCATAAGAAAGGCAGGTCAGAAAATAGAGGCACAGAGTGGTCAGATGACTTCACACAGCTAAGGTAAGTGGAGCATGAGATCAACTTAGATTTGCCTGCCTTCTGGCAGGAGCACTTAACTGCCCCGACTCTCTGTTTAGAGCAGTGGGCACCAGGATGAACAAGATCTGGAGGCGTCCCCACCCTCGGGGAGCTCACAGTCCGAGCATGGGGAAGAAACCAAGAGTTCAATACTCCCTTTTTCCTCCAAGTGTGGTCCCTGGGCCGGCAGCATCCGCAGCACCTGGGCGCTTGTTAGAAATGCGGAAGCTCCAACTCGGGACCAGGGGACTGACTGCAGAGTAACAAGACCCGCGCGTGCTTGGTGTGCACTTTCTAGGAGGCGAAGCCTGGTCTAGAGCCCACTGCTCCGATTAGAGATGAGACACCCTGGTTCAAGCCTTTGCAGGTCAGAGATGGTGGAACTTCAAGGCTTGGTTTAGGAACCCAGCCTAGGCCTGAATGGGCGGTTCCACTCTTGTCCTAGGAGGCCCGCGGGTGGGACAACGAAGGGGAAGAAACGCAAGGTGCTCAGAGCATGCACGGTGCTCCATGGCGCTCGGCGCGCGCGGAGCGCTGTCGGTGCGCATGAGGTGCTCGCAGGCAACG